CTACACAGAGAGAATATTATGGTTTTCCTTTTTCTCGTATGAATTCCTTCGAATTTTACTCTATTTTTAGTAGTCTATGAAGACAGACTGTCAGTAGGATCTATCTTCCTAAGAAACATAGTAAATTTCGCTAGAAACATAGCAGATTTTGCTACAAACATATACAAACAATGTGATATTAAAATATGAATGTTTTAATATCACATTTTAGTTCCTACACGAAAAAAACGTTTGGAACTAAATTCTTTGTGTGGTACAAATAAACCAGAAAACTCCGATTGAAATTATCATATATTAGAATTCTGTTACACAAAAATTTCGCTAACTTGAACAGATTTTTGGTAACTTTAACCGGAATTTTTGATTCAGTCATTATTATATACCAGAAATTTGATTCAACCAAGCGTTTTTTTCCATGTAAAATACGAGTAGCACATATGAAATGAAAGAATACTGTAAATTTGCTGCTTAAATAAAAGATTTTTAAGTAAATATGTTATATAATATCCACTGAATAAATACGTCTTCTCTTATAGTGTATCTTATACATGCCGCATACCTACGCGGAATATCAAATCGTCTGCATGAATCGTGAAAATTATACGTTTCATTATCGCGCGACGAAAAATCTGTGTCACTGCGGACAACCTTTGCTGAATATTAAATTATGGCAGTATGTAACAAAGCTGATGAATTATACATTCCGCCATCGTATGTGCAATATCTACGTCGCCTCGGAATATTTTTGCGGAATATGGAATTATGGGACCGGCGCAACGGACCGGTAATGTTCGAATTATACGCTGTGAATTTAAATTGTAGTAAACAAATAACTAAAAGGGCAGAGAGAGAGAGAGAGAGAGAGAGAGGGAGTGAGTAAGTGAATGAGTAAGAGAGAGAGAGAGAGATGCGTTCGGATGGACGTTTCGTAATTGCACACGAAACGCACATGTCTCGAACAATCATCTGAGAAAACCGTGGCGGCTAATTTTCATTATTATACTGTACTGATACGAGCTCATAACATATGTTGATTAAAACTCCCGGACAGGCGATATATCGATCAACGTGGTCCGATGACGAAAACGACGATGAGGACGGCGCGCGATGAGAGGAAGACAGAGAGAGGAAAAGAAAGAGAGACGAGAGGACCCGGCACGATAAATAACGCGGCGCGGATCCAGTGCCGAATTAATCGATCGTAATCGATCGATCGCCGTCCGCCAATCTGCCCCGTGTGGGTTTTCAATTTGCTCGGACCGTGGGGGCCTCCGTACACTCGGAACGCGTACATTAATCCCGCGATTACTATAGCTCGGGGTCTCGAGAGCCACGAGCGCGGATCTTGCCGTTATCTCGTCTGAAAAATCTCTTTCTCTCTTTCTCGCGCGCGCGAGATATCGATCCCGACGTGTCTCGCCTCTTCTTCCACGATCGTTCTCCAACGAGGATTACAAACAGCGGCTGTATCCTTATCCCGACGCCAATCGTAGTGACCGCGATTACGATCACTGCAGTGACGCGCGTTGACGTGTGTGATACTTTCCCCAAATGATTTATATTTGTGTACGTCACGTGTCCGTTAAATATTCGTTTTGCATTGTTATTATGTTGAATTAAAAGTGCGAGTTAAAACGCGGTAAAACGAGATTCAAGCGAAAATAATACACTTGGACTTGCAGTGTGGCTCGCACATGCTACTCTCTTAGAATGAATCAGTAAAACATCACTGAAAACAGTGAATATACACTGATTTGCAGTTATAAGTGTTGCACTGAAAGTGCTCAGTGCTATACTTATAACTGATATCAGTGACTATTCACTGATTCACTTTAAGAAGTACGCGAAGTGTCCATCCGTAATCCAGGTGCCACTCCTAACATTCTTATCCATGGGAACATTTCCTCGCTTCTCTAAACTGTAACAAATCCGACACTATTCCGCCTTTAGAGTCCCTTTCTCACGATCTCGCGGCTACTTTATAGCGCGGGACGCCCGCGACATTCGGTATCATCAATTCGCCATTAAATAAGTACGCCTAAGCGCGCCACGGTGGTGATCCTTCGGAGCGATGGAGCGTAATGATGATCACTTACACCGGAACTCGTTTTTGCCGGCTCGTTCGCCGGCGAGAGTTGATCGATGATGGACAAAAATCGAGAGACGTATGGCGATCGCCGTGATCGCGACGTGAAATTCGGCTGCCGTTTTTAGTTACAGAACCATTAACGACGCTAACGAAGGGTACTCTCTGGATTCAACGTTCTCTCTTTCTCTCTCTCTCTCTCTCGCTCGCTCGCTCGGTCTCTTTTTCGTTCCTCAGAGATGAGGGAAGAGAGAAAGAGAGAGCCGTTCGCGTGTCCTCGATTGGCTCGCAATTACCATACTGCCCACGCAGATGCAGCGATGTTAACACGCACAGGTCGCGCGGGGCGGAGGGACTCACAACCGCGCAAACATACGTGATCAGAGGGAAATATTGCGGAGCGCGATGACCCTTTGAAGAGTGTCGTTCGTACGGCCGTTATCACCTCGTCGAAACTCTTTCGACCTTAACACGACGAATTAATCACGCGAAAGAAACGTCTTGAGTAGCGAATGGAGAGGAAGACTATACGTCCATTCGTATTTCTTTATCCACGCTCTTTCTAGATGTTTATACAGTGAGAGAAGAGATGTCTAAAGAATAAAAAATATTCATTTAATTCGGAGCCGAGTTGTATAAATCGTTGGTGCGATTTCGCGGCTGTGTATCCTTGGTATCTTTCACTGGATGTGTATGCCTCCAAAAAAGAGTTAACAATTTTTTTATTGCACAAAAAATATTTTTTCAATATCAGTATTTGATTTTGGTGCAAATGTCTCACGGAATTTCAATAGATTGCATTGAAAAATACGTATCGAATGGGATCATCATTGACCCCATTCTGTTATTTAAGAATTTAAGGATTTATATCAGTATAAGTAAATATGCTATTTACTCTAAATACTTCTTATTCCTTAAATATTCTCTCTCTCTCTCTGTACAATTGTTTTTGTTTCTTTTCTTTTTTTGTTGACCTTTTGAAGCACAGAAGCTTCAAACTTTGGATTCTAATAAAATATTCATATCACATATCTAGAACGACAAGTTAAAAGATAATTTTTTTTTAATTAATTTTTTATATTTTTCTAAATTTTTTTACAAAATAGAGGTAGTCTCACTGTGCAATAAAATATTTTTATCACTATACACAGCCTGAGCAGTGGTTTCGTTGCAAGATTATTATACCTGAAGCTATAATTTGGTTCTAATATGTGATCTCAGGATAAAAACACTATGCTCCAAAGGGTTAAATATCAAATACATAGCTATCTCAATTAAATTAATATACCGCAGTTAGGACAAACGAACGTCCCGTTGTAGAGTAACCGAGAGACCGAGTCTTTCTTATTTATGTTTATTTACATTTATTTACGTTTATTTTTGACGGGGCACGGCGTGTAGTGTCTGCCCGGAGCGCGTCTTCTCAGACGCATGCCGCGTGAATCCGATTAAGATGATGTTCTAATCTGAATAATTCGCGTCACCGCTCACAACTTTTTCGCGCCGTGCTCAGCCTCGCGCAATTTCCAAAGACGCTTCGCGCCGCCGAGAATTCCCACAGTCTCCCGCCCGCAAGCCGGCAATCGTATTTTTCAGCCAGACGTATGACGTACGCAAGGTTAAGACGCGATTTGCCGCTTCAATGACTCCCTGAAAATTTTCCCCGACTGTCACTCCAGCCCGGCGATTTATTATTTCCCGCGAACGCGACTTTAATACGCGCGAACTGGTCTCGCCACGCCGCGATAAACATCTATCCAATTGCTATCCCTATCTCCTCCTTCTCCTCTTCCTTCCCCCTCCCGCCCCTCTTTTTCCAGCGAGATTTTTCTCGGCGCAATCGACCGGCATTTCTGCGTTCTTGAATCGAGCCCGTCATTAATAACTATGTCCGGCTAGACCGGAGCCGCCGTGAGAGGCTCATTACTTTCGATTTGAACGGAGATTACTTTCGAAACGGATTATAATAGCGGCCGAATCGAACGCGGACGAACGCGGTTATTCTAAGAGCCGATCTTCAAAATCAATCGCCGCAATCAAGCGGTCGATACCATTCCCAGGTCGATTAGGCACTTCATTTGGCCGAATTTATCCCCGGATCGGCCGGCGATTACGCGAAACTTGTAATTCAAGATGAAATTTCCCGCTTTGCACAAGAGCGGTCGTTTAACTATTCGCAATTCCGTTAAGTTGGAAGAGCCATGGAAATACGAATGATCGAGCCGGATAATAACAACAAGAGTCGCATGTTCGCGAATGTAAATATACGAGTGAGATAAAAACAAGGCAAAAACATTTCACAGAAGCAACGTCTGATACACTGCTCAAAAAAATTAGATGATCACAAAATGAACGAATAGTTTTACCTGTACTAAGGAAAAATATTTAAATAAAAATATTTATTCAACGGGTACTAAGTAATATGTTTACTTATATAAAATATTTTTCAAATAAGAAAATATATATTTTTTTAACACTTTAGCTGTTCATGAGATCAATTATTTTAATTAAATTTGTTATATTATTAAATTATTTTAATTAAATTTGTTAAAGTTGTTGAATAAGAGGATTTAGATTTAAGTAAATATTCTCCTAGTATATACGGATAAGTATATTTTAAAAATTTTTAAATATTTTTTTCTCAGTGAACTGTTTCTATTACTTAAATAAAATGTGGAATGAGAAATAACTAATAAATATGTTCTTAGCAAAATTAAAAAACATGTTGACGAAAAAGAGTATCTTATACTTTTCAAGTATCTAAAAAATAATATAAGAATCCTAAGAAACGATCTTGTAATTGTTTCAAACAGTGCAAGAACATGAGTCAGGAAAAAATTGCGAGAAAATGGAGAGGACTTTTCCAAGTGAAATAAGTCGTTAAAGCATGCATACGTTAAGAAGCAAGACTCACCTTGCTCGCACTCGTCAATGTCTTCGGAGCAGTCCAGTCCTTTGTATCCGGTGGCGCAGGAGCAAGTGAAGGAGCCGTTGATAGGGCTGGTGTCGCAGATCGCGCCCTCGTGACACGGATTCGACGTACAGGCATCGTCCAGATGGCAGAGGAGTCCTGCGACACAAAAGCGACAGTTCTCCCTGAAGTCAATTTCTCCACACGCGACTTTATAGACACACACATACTCTGTATAGTCACCACTCAATAAAAGAAAGTCACTTATAGTCACGTAGCGAAAATTATCTAGACATGAGCAATTAATCGAGACGGTTAGATGACTAGCAAACACTGCGATACATCGCGTGTGTTTTGTCCGAAATCACTCCGATAACTCGTATAGTTTTATCAATTCAATTTATACGAACGAATCACTGTACGACGCGATTTGAGTTCCTCCGGCGACCGACTAGACATTCGGCGACACGCACACGCGACAGCGGACACAAAATTTTGGATAATGGAGGGGGGAGGGGGATTCGCTAATTAATGCAAATTTTACACGGGCAGATTTCAGTACGACGCGAGCCCCGAGTTGTCTCCTCGGCGCGCGGCGGCTAACTGACTCTCAATGATAACACGCGCGCGCGGAGAAAAACAACACGCAGCTCAACCGTCATGTTTACATATCCCATTGTCCCAGGGTTTATACAACGTGTCCCATTTATTACGGATCTACATCGATATACGTGACAGTATCAAATCAATGATAATACTGATAATACTGCCTTAATTATGTGAAAATATTGAAAAAGAGGAGAAAAAAAAGCAGTCATGGCTGTAAATAGAAAAGATGTAGATACAGGATACAGAAAGAAAGAATCAGGAAACTTGTAATGATAAATTAAAGTAGAGATAGATGATAGGTGGAATAGAATAAGGTAGAAAGGAGTATACAATATGACGAATGTGATGTTAGGAAAGAGTTTGTGAAAGTAAAAGCATTTTATGATATTGTAGGGTGTAGTTGGTATAAAGATTGTGATATTAGGATAAGAATATTAGTATAGGGGGACAAGTTGGCAAAGTCGGTTATTTCTAGTATTTTCTAACAAGTTACAAAATTAAGTAAGCAAGATTCTTAAACGTGTCAAAAATGACATTCCTGTTTGCTTGATTCTGAAATCTATTTCTTCTTCAGAGAACAGTAGAAATAATCGATTTTATCAACTTATTCCGATCTCCTTTATAAGAGTGATAGAGGTATGAAAGGATGAGTGTGGCTAAGGATACTTTTTGTAAACCAAGTTCCTTCTTGCTGAAGGAATAAATACATAGATATTATGTGAAAATATCTGAACTCGCCGATGATTTTTTCTGCGTTTGGCGACTATTCGAGAACGAGTGATCGCATGAATTTTTACTTTTTTATTACTGTTTTTAGTGTGAGAAGATATCTTTCAAAGACATATTTGCATTGGAAGGCGCTGAAGATGTCTGGATTTTTCTCTATATGTGTGATAACACCAGAATTTGGCCACGATGCGTAAGATCTCGCGAGATCTCTCTATCATCAGAGCGATAACAGTCAGTGCGGGATTATCGAGCGCGTGTATCCCCTTCCATGACTTCCTGCGATCCGTGCAACAAATTACGCGGCCGTAGAAATTATTGCAAGACGAGCTGAGAGGAAATTGCCGGCATCGTAAACTCGGAAGGACAATATAAAATTGAGAAAGCTACGCCGGGGGACATAATTTTCCTTGGGAAGCGGCTCGCGTGTGTCGAGAGGCAAACTTTTCTTTATGAGGCCCGATAACGGTACCAGAGTCCTCGGGATATTCATATATAAACCAGAGTAAGTGCATGCAGATGCACGGAGCATGCACCCGCGAGTAACTGTAACTATATCTCTAACGCGAACTCTGAAAGCACGCCCGAAGGCGGCGCGAGAGGGACCATTACACGCGTTCGTGTATCGCGCGGCTCCGTTATAACTTGTGCGAACTCTCTTCCTTCCTCAACCCTAAAAAGACAGTAGTCTGCTCGCAAAATGACACGCTCACATTCTTTGATCCTAGAGCGAACGTGCGGGTAACACCTAGTAACGCGGAAGAAATTCGTCTAAAAAAATTTCACAGCTACCAATCCGACGGGAAAATTATTTGTGCAGCTTCGCGAGACAGAGTGCAAGACTTACAAATTCGGATTTTTTTGTCACCTCCCTAATATATCTAATACTCGACAAGGCAATCATTTTTCAATTATCTTAATCTTAATTAAATAATTTTCATTCAATTTCAATTAAATAATTTCAATTAAATAAATTTCAATTAAATAATTTTCAGTCAATTTCAATTTATTTAACAAAACAAATGAATAATCTTCCATAAGAAGTACCTTTCCATATTCACATCCTCATCGAACTTGACTGTTTCGCGAATCGATGGGATCGCCGCTGGTCGATATAAAAGCTCGATTCCGGGGAATCGCGACGCGTCCTGTCTGCTGATGCCGAGAGAGAAGAGAGGGAGAGAAAGAGAGAGATACCTGTATTTGGCGATCGCCGGCGGATCGATCTGAAAACGGCCCACCTCGCGGCTGCTCTGCCGAGCGGCCGGCGAAGGAAGGAGAGTAAGGACAGAAACTCGTTTCCAGTCGCCAAGGTCGATACACGATGCGAAGCCGAGGCGTCCCGGGAGTCCTCGGAATCTCGAGATTCCGAAGGACCCGTTCTCTACGTAGCTCTCGTAGTAGGCGCGTACGGAGCGCACGTGTGCAGATGCACCTGCCGATGCATTTCGCGGAGCTCGCCGCCCGCCGTCGTCGTTGCGAGACAGTCTTGTTCCCGACCATACTCGGCGTCGAGTTAATCACCCCGCGGATACGCGACCTCGCCAAAGCCAGCCGGAGAGAAGGTGGCTTCGCGCGTGTCTCTGTCTCTCTCTCTCTTCCTTTCTCTCCCCTCCTCGAACAGGAAAGGGGATTTTAAGCTTCCGTCATATTTTTTACGCGCTCGCCGATAAATGTCGCGCCGGAATTGGACGTAATGACCAGCGGGAGTCGTGGCGATGAAACGCACGACTGATATCGGCCACGACGTGAATCCTCGGACTGCGAGGATGCTCTTGAGGGAGATTCTTGCATCGCTGAATATCAAGTTTTCCTACAGTAACAGCTATGTCCATATCTGTAGCGGTCACTGAATTACCTCGACCGACAGACACGATCGATCTTTTCGCGATTGAAAGTATCGTGTAATTAACATTCGATTTATCGCGGCGAGATTACTACGAATCTTTTGATTTGATTATTGTCACCATGATGATCTCACACAGAAGAAACAGCTCCGTTAGCTGAAATTTCTGATTCCTGGCGGCCAGACGAAAACTTGGTTGTAGAAATAGAAAGATTCTTATGGGGATGATTTCTATTCAGCTAATTGCCCCGAGTTATGTCAATTGAGTTTCATGTAACTGAATGTTCAGATGAACGGTCACGATAACAGAGATAAGGTAAACGTCCCAGTGGTCGAACATACATGTCCCAATGATTAACATGTTGGTTTTGTATTTTCCTTTGTTGAAATGCTTTTCAATATACAAAACAATATAATAAATGAAAAGAAATATTTAGTTACTTTGTGATTTTGCTTCATTTATTGATAAGCATCTTAACAAACATAAGTATATTATTAGTAATTCAATTATTGCATTCGATTTATCGCGGCGAGATTACTACGAATCTTTTGATTTGATTATTGTCACCATGATGATCTCACACAGAAGAAACAGCTCCGTTAGCTGAAATTTCTGATTCCTGGCGGCCAGACGAAAACTTGGTTGTAGAAATAGAAAGATTCTTATGGGGATGATTTCTATTCAGCTAATTGCCCCGAGTTATGTCAATTGAGTTTCATGTAACTGAATGTTCAGATGAACGGTCACGATAACAGAGATAAGGTAAACGTCCCAGTGGTCGAACATACATGTCCCAATGATTAACATGTTGGTTTTGTATTTTCCTTTGTTGAAATGCTTTTCAATATACAAAACAATATAATAAATGAAAAGAAATATTTAGTTACTTTGTGATTTTGCTTCATTTATTGATAAGCATCTTAACAAACATAAGTATATTATTAGTAATTCAATTATCGATACACGTTCAATCACTAGCACGTTTACCTTATTATCTCTCGTCAGCGAGACTTCCCCCATTTGGTCGCTATTCGGTTACACACGAACTGAAATCTTTTTCCCGCGCATCGAAAAATTCCATCGCGATCACTCGAAAGAAATGCGGCCCGAATAAGCAAACGTTACGCAAAGAACTGGCCGCGAATATTCCGACGCTTTTTCAGGACGACTCGAGAGAGTCGCCCACGTCTATCGCCGGTGCATTTTCCGAGCCCTGCGACTCGGTGGATAATGTGAGCCTAAGGTCGCTTACCGGTCTTTCCGTATGTGCACTGGCAGTAGAAGCTGCCGACGCGATCGATGCAGGTAGCGCCGTTGAAGCAGGCCGCACCTGCACAGTCATCGATGTTGACGCTGCAGTCGGCCCCGGTCCAGCCGTTCACGCATATGCACGAGTAACTGCCGTGCGAATTTGTGCACGTAGCGCCGTTGTGGCACAAGGACGGCCGCACGGAGCACTCGTCCACGTCCAGCTCGCATTGCGTGCCCGTGAAGGCCGGCGGACACAGGCAGGAGTACTCGTTCACCCGGTCCATGCAAGTGGCACCATTCTGACAGAGGTTGCCCGGACAGTCGTCGATGTTCTCCTCGCAGCGCTCCCCTCGGAATCCTGAAACACCAAGACACATTGCAGGCTTTAATTTTTGGCGTTCTTCTTCGCGTTAATCGCGATTACATGAGTGAGAGACGTTAGTGACTGTCTCTGTGAATAAATTTTAGATTTATTAAATTAAGTCAAATCGTCGTGTAAACTCGCAGGGAAGCGAGACCCAACGTGTGTTACCACACCGCCATCGTTAAGGTAGTTAGGTCAAAAACAGTGAAGTCACAGAACTTCTTGAAACTTGTAGCAAAATTAATTTAGGTATTAATATGTATGTGTGTTAAATACAGGTTCGATTAACCGTATAGTTTCCGAGAAATTACCACTTATAGTTTACTCTTTTTCTGGATATCTTACATGGCGCTGACGTACAAAAAGTAACACGTAAACGCGCATTTGTCAGCTGCAAATGACCTACAATAAGGATTAATACGAAAATTTGGACAAAATTAGTTGAATGACTTACAGAAGTACATACTTCAGTCTCAGCGAAATTGACCGTACATTATTAGAGTATGATTAATCAGCAAAAATAAGTTTGGCTTTTGCTTTTTCGTTCGCGACCATGCTTTGCGGATGTGGCAACGTTGTATAGCTTGGCGTCGCATAGCGCTAATAGAGCGCTAATAGAATGCGACGTTGCCACGATCTATAGTTCCGCGATTAAACGCAATTCAGCATACTGTTTCTTTTTCTATCATTTCATTTATTTTATCGATTTTTAGTATTCTGAGAAAACCAATGATATTTAAAAATCTGTTTTTCACTTTTACTTCAAAGAATTCATCGGTTGTTGAACCTTTTATTTAAAATCTAATTTTGACTACCACAGTTGGGAAACAACTATCTTAATGAGGATTATATTCGTTGTGGTAACCAAATCGCGTTCGCATGTTAATTTACATATCGACCTCTTCCGTGAATAATGTACAGCGTGTGATCCACACCATCTACTATTTACCGTTTCAATACTCGGCGGTAGGTGTGGGACACTCTGCATAAACGATTGTGAGATTTTACAGGCACTCTCGCTCAAATACGTAACTCGAATAGCGCTTGTTCAACTCGTATCATTCCCCTTGTCAATCGTTAGATACGTCTCGTCCCGCTTGGTTATGTCAAACTGAGCGTGCTCTCCCTTCATGGCAGCGACGCGCGCACGCCGCCATCGCGTATCGAGTATCGAACTATCAATCCGCGATCGACAATATGGCGCCAGCTTGAAATGCCATACCTCGATCCGCCGGCTCTTCCTCTTATATGATAGCAGCAAAGGGTGGATTATAAAAGTTTCAGAGCAAGTTTCGCAGACAAGTTACGTAGTCATTATATATTGCACTGCACTTTCTTATCAGTGACAAATGATGATAATTGTAATAATAAAGGTCACGTTTGGAGATAATGGCAAGGCTGCATTCAGCGTGGCGCCGTTATCGAGGTAATTAAACCGTTCTTTCTCGGATCACCGCGATTCTCGATCGCCTCTAATCCTCCAATTGGTTTTTGTTGCTTGCCCGCGTCGGTGCCGGTCGAGCGCGCATTTGCATGGCCACGAACGGGTAATCGCCGCGCAATTAATAATCAAGAGCGCGAATCGAAGCGGCGATATTTTTCAATCCGTGCCCAACAGCAATGGGAGGAAGAGGAGGAGGAGGAGGAGGAGAATCGAACGGACGACGGCGGCCGGCCGCCGCGAGAAAAGGGAAAAAAGGACGCGCGCGATCGTTCTCGTTACAGCGCGTCGGCACGATGATGATCGTGCGGTGGTTATAAAGAGAACTCATTACCGCAACACGCCGTGCCGGGCCAGGCCGACGCGAGTCTGCGCGTCGTCGTGCGTGTTCGCCGACGTGAAAAATCGAAAACGGCGGGTCGACGCGCCGGTCGTCTCGAAGCAACGCGCGTCGATTGGTCGTTCGGTCGGTCGACTTTGCTCAGCACTGACTAGGGAAATATGTCCAGTAGCCGGCACTCGTTGCAGCACTCGCCAGTTTTCGGCACTCTAGCCCGGATTTTATCATATATTAAGGTGTATGGGGATTTATTAATTATTTGTTTATTCGTTTTCTTTTAAATTCTCATACCTTTGCGATATCAGAGTTCGCTCAGCGACCCTATCTTTTTTTGCTCAATTTTTAATTATTTTAATGAATTTCTTAATGTGTGAAGTGATGTTTTTTCCTCTTTTCGTAGAATTCCTAGTATATTAACAAACGTAAAAAAAATAGGCAACAATTTCCATTTGTATAATAGAATTAAACAAATTTCTATTCGTATAATTACTATAAACAAATAGTCAAAATTTTTGCTTCTTATGAAAAAAAATTAATTTTAAATTAACTAATCTGACATTTTGTCAGATCTTTTTGCTACGTTGTCCAAATCCAAGTAAATAAATAGTTTGGATATCTCTTATAATTGTATCCTGAGGTTTTTTGGGTCACTGAATCCTAATCTGAGGAGTCGTCAAGTTTTTAAAAATCCAAAATTGTAGAGCCGGTATGAATTTTAAAATTCTTCGGTCAACCCGCAAAGACTCCGGAGGTACAAAGATCCGAAAAAATTGGTCTGATCGATCGATCGGAAGTTGAGCAAGAGAAAGAAGAGATCGACATGTCACTGCGAAGGGGCGCAACGAAATGAACTCCAGCGACCATGAAATCGAGCTACGACAACTAAGACAGGTTTCTCTTAGACGTCGCGACGAAGGAACGTTGAGCAAACAGCGGCGGAAACGATCGCGGCGGCGCGTCGTGCGTCAACTTTTTGCCACAACGCGGACGCGGAACGCGCAGTTCCGGCGCGAACGAGTTCGCGGGGAATGATATCGCATGCTGCTCTTCGACGAGAGCACAGAAACGCGTGTTCTTCCTTCTCCGCGAGACTTCCGGGGCGAGAGAATCGCCCCGTGCGATCGAGAACCTCGTCTCTCGTTAATTCCAACACGCGCGACCCCAGCGTGCTATGTTGTTGCCGCGATGCCATGTCGTCGGATAGGAACTCGAGTTTCTGGACATGGAGCACCGCCCAGTCGACGTGCCCTTGAACCTCGACGAGAGAGACGAGGGATGGGAGGGAGGAAAGAGAGAGAGACAGAGAGACGGACGGATGGAGATCGGCGAATCGGCCGAATCGACGTTGCATGACGCTCGATTATCCGCACATCATGGAGCTTTCTTCTTCTTCGTCGCACTCGTTTTCTGCTCTCGTTGAACCCGGACAAAACAAACATTCGGACGGACGCGCGACGACGAATGGATTCGCGACGGTTCGTCGCGACCTCGAAGGACTCGATTACGCGTATCCCGTTGCGCTACCGGCAGTTCTTTCTCTTTCTCGTTCCGACTGAATGTTTCGTCTACATCCTGAAATTTACATTTTGCGCCTCAAGTCCGTCTCGGACGCGATTCGCGACGGAAATCGGTTCGCGGGACTATATCTGCGCGAGGATACTCTAGAAATTCGAGTTAACGTAAAATTACCAATACCCGGACATTCTTGGTTTTCAATTGCGAATATCTAAATATCCAACATAAAATATACATGCATAATATATTGAATATATACATATATATTGAACATATACATATACATGTATTATAAAGTTTAAATATTCGTATTTAAAGACCAAAACACACAATAAGAATGCCCAAGATTTAATATTTTTACTTTGCAAAATAGAACTATGACCCGAAGTCGAGTGATTTTTCACTTATACAGAATGAATTTCTTCACTCTGAATTGTCGAGTGAACACTTAAATTCAAGATTGAATCTGCCGTACTTCACCGTCACGGAAAGAAATACAATTTTTTGATTTAACCGATTGAAATATTCACTCGAATTCGCTCTAAGTTCGAGAATATCCACTCCTGCGATTTCAAGCGGCAATATTTTCAGCATTCTCCGGGTGAATCTTGGCTCGTTGTGACACGAAGATATTTTAAAGAGTATCGCATAAACGTACAGAACTAAAAATCCAACTTGGTTTCTTGGATCTTCCGAAATACGCTTCGAATTTCATCTTTAATTAAGGCATCCCCGGCGCCGTGCTCGTCGGGGATGAAGTTCGCGCACGAAAGTGCCTTTCCCCTCGACGAAGCCGCTCGATCGCTCGATCTTCGAGTCGCCGCGAAAGCGCCGATAACGAGAACGAGGAGGAACAAACGAGTAAGGCGCGCGGACACACCGGCAGATAAGACGCCGCCGTAATTAAGCGGCGATAGGAAACGGCGATCGTTCGCTCTCGACGTCTCTTGTACACGCGAGGGGACATCAAGGCGAACGAGACCGCGGACAGAAAACTGAGCGCGATATCGTCGGGGCTAATAGCACCGTCGGCAATTACTATCGACCACGTGTCGCGTCAGGTGTCGATATTATTTCGCGATATCAATTATTCGCGTGCGTCGTATTGCTCATTTACGTGCCGTGCCACGCCACGCCGCGAAACAACCACGACGCGCTCGCGCCGCGATACCGCCAATTACCAGCGAGTACATCGGTGTACTCGGTGACTATCAGCGACATCAATAATTTGTTTATCGCGGAGCTATATCTCTCTATCTATCGCGGAGCGTCATGCAGGACTGAATCGCATTAATTGGTCGGAGGTGCTTTAATTGCCACTTCAACGACGCGACGAGCGACTTCTTATCTCTCTATCCTGCATTTGTTGACGGTGCAACAAATGTGATGACACAATAGGCCTGCTTTTTTTCGCGAAAAGTAGCGTACATTCACTGAGAGAAGAATTTAGTAAATATCATCAAAATTTGGTTACTATTACTAAATGATAGATGTAAATATAGCGAGCCAAAGCTATGGCAATATTTATTAATTAATTTAGTTCTGTAAAATAAATTATTTACTTGACAGAAGTAAGATTTATTTGCTTCCAGAATATATTTGGTAAATAAAACTTATTGAATAGTTGAGCAAAATAAGCCATTTTGTAATAGTTACAAAATTTTTTATAGGTTCAACCAACCATCTATAATAATAGAT